GAGATCTTCTTTAAAAATGTATTCTTCAGAAAAAAACATCTCTGACATGAGATTAAGGAACACATGAGGTTAAGAATCTGATTAAAGAACATGGATATGGATGTATACAAAGAGCTATCATTCTYCCTCCAAGAGTTTATAGCCAATATAAAGATTTTATCTTTTTTAAAGACACTTTGGTACTCATGAACTTGTGGAATTTTAATTTGCATAAAATATTTTATTTAAAATGAGTTTTTGACTAGAACCATTGTAGTAAATAAAACCATTACTTGTTTTAAATGGAACTGTTGTTTTACTAGAATCATTACTTTTTAACTATACCATTGTATAGGCATAGTGAGAAAATAAAGCTAATCATCAGCTCATATAAAATGTTCCAAATAATATATAATTTTATTGTTGACTACTTCTTATGCCCCGCTTTTTTAACTCTCAAAATGTTTCAGTTTAAATCTTAAATTATATGGTCACAACATAAAATTTAGACAAATAATCTAAGTTTTTCAGTGGGTGTTTAATACCAAAACACAACACCAAAAAAAAAACAATGTGTCAGACCTCTATTGAGAGCACCTTATGGAAGGCCCATGAGGCTTGAAATCTTACATTTATTGATGTTGCTAGAGGTGAACATGAGTCACTGAGAACAGGTTAAAGCATTCACAGTATCAGCCACTTAATGGGGGAGAATATTTAATAGTTATTGTACAAATCTGGTAGACTTAAATGATACCTTCTACTAACTGCAAATAGTATGTATTTTGAATTTGTTGTAGCATCTTGATATGGTTGAAGCTCAGTCCAATAAGGAGGACATGGCTTTGAGAAAAAAGAAAACAAAGGCTTATTGCTTTGCCAACAAAGGAGAAACACAGGAGGCTTCTGTCCCAAAGGCTGTGATTCTGCCTGTCAGCAGGATCAGGGGGCTTATAAAGAGGTGATTCAAGGCTACATTCTACATGTTCTCTGTCTGGAGTTGTAATTCACTTGTTAATTTGGGAGAATCATTTCTGAGATCTTCTGGTACCATCCCCAAAGTCTGGATTACWTCCTTCCTTTGGTGGGTGTGAACTCTAAGAGAGAGAAATCTGCCTGTAATGGGGAAAAAAAGATAATCCTGTTCCCCCTGAAATCAGGGAGGAGCAATGAGAGAAGAAGAGAAAAAACATACCTACTTCAAAAATGAGTTACAGGGGCAGAGCACCAAGAGCTCTATTCAAAACACAAGGTGCACCACTGTTACATTGACACCAGTTGTGTGTAGCACTATTAGAGTATAATGTGTGAAAGCATTCAATATGGACAAGAAGACTGCTATTAACAAGGAAATGCTGCACCAATGTGCATGTGCCCACACACACACACACACACACACACACACACACTCTCTCTCTCTCTCTCTCTCTCTCTCTCTCTCTCTCTCTCACTCTCTCTCTCTTCTGGTAATTAAGAATACAAAGCAATGGTAAACTATTTATTCCACAAGTATTTGATGAGTACAAACCATATGCCAGGCCCATTTTTGAATGTTGTGTATTTGTTCAAAAAATGACTTAATTTCCAAAAATCATACCATAGGGTAAGATATAAAATTTCAGCAGAAGATGGAGTGCGGCTGCACTTGAAATTGCGTCCAGGTTTATTTTGAGAATGACTTGTAAGTCTTAAGTGGCCACATGTGTGATGCATTTTATTTTGTTTCTTTACTGATATTAAAAAGCCTACATGTTCAATACTGGAAGTAAATTAATAATCTCCTTTAAAGATACAGATATTTGGCAGAAATGCAAGACAACTTTTACAAAGAAGAGAGGTGAAGCTAGTATTTGCATATTGCGGCCCCTACAATGATTGAATAARGGAGTTTTGAAGACTTTTGAAAGACACTAGGGAAAAAAAGCAGATGAGCAATACACAAGAGCCTGGGTCCCTGACCTGTTACCAAAAACCTTGGGCCTTGTCCCTGATGGCCATGCAACAATGAGGAGAAGGTTTTGAGATGGAGGTAAAAGGAGGTTTATTGCTTTGCCAGCAAAGGGGAAACACAGGGGACTCCTGTGCCAGAAGATTTGATYCTGCCCATCAGGGAAAACAGAGGGTTTTTAAGGAGACTATTCAAAGGCTCCACTCCAGGT